TAATAAATAAAAGTTAACATCATTTATTTTACATATAATTAAAGAATTTCTAAAATAACAATACCACGGAATTATCTGTGTCTTAACCTTTACGCCTGTTTGTAGAATTTGAAGAAAACAACATTTGTCTTTCGGGCTAACTCATACATTCTCAACAAAGACTTATTTAACACCCCCAATGCATACAACAACGCCGTCAGAGCTGCAAAGACGTAAGATTCAAAAGACGAAGTGAAGGTGGAGGAGAAAAGTACAGAGAAGACTAGGAGAGAAGGACCAGAATTATGCACCGTGAACAGTGTAAGAGATGATTTCGAGCAATGAAAGGGCGATCGTGTTAATCAGGGAAGGGGTGGATCTAAATGAAGTCTACGTGTGTGATGCCCCCAGGCCGGTAGAGAGAGAGAGAGAGAGGAAGGAGGCGCTTCCACGTCAGGGACTGTGAATCTGCGAAGGCAGGAAACGGGGGGCTTCATGGTGGGGGGGGATACTCTGGCAGCGACGGAGGGTCCGGGATGCGGAACAGGCCCGAGCGCAGGGCACAGTGGCCTCGGACGCTCCCAAGGACGCGCTGGGACACACGGCCGCGCCCCGCGGGCGCCCCGAGGACAGCGCCCCGGGCCCGGCCCCGGCCTACCTTTGCCGTAGAAGAACTTGCGGTAGTAGTAGGCGCCCAGGTCGATGTGCTCTATGATGTAGCGCTTCACCTTCTCCCGGTGGATGGGCTGGTTCTCCCTGGGCACCTCCAGGACCGACACCCCCGCGTTGGTGCAGTGGGAGCTGAGCGACGACTCGAAGGAGCAGCTCTCCCCGGAGCTGAAGGAGGACGAGCTGGCCCTGCAGAGGGCGATCCTCCTGTCGCCCTCGCCCCCCGTCTCGTTCCGGAAGTACGGGCAGCTGAGGACCAGCTCGTTGCTCTTGCCGTCGCCCTCGTCGGCGTCCAGGTTCTCCTTGCAGTTGAGGTCCTCCTTGCTCCCCAGCGGGGACTCGCAGCCGCCCGCCTGGCCCGCCGGCACCTGGGTCTGCGAGGCCGCCGACGCGCCGGTGGTGATGTTCTTCCTCTTCCCCACGTTGGCCCGCGTCGCCATGGCTTCGTTGATGTTAAACAAAATGCTCTGGACGTCGTAATGTGCAAAGCAGCGCTGACAGTGCCAAGGGCGGACGCCCCTCTCCAGGCGGCCGTCCTCCGGGTCGGAGGTGAACCTGAAGGTCTCGTGTTCGCTTTTAACGGTCCGCAGCTTTCGGAAGAGGGACGTTTCCACCGACTCCGACTTCAACCTCCGTTTGAACGGCCTGTCCCTGTCTCTCCCCATCAGGAGGCCACTGTCCACATAGTCTAAGCCTGAGATGCGGACGAACTCTCCTCGCGAGATCTGTGCCGCCGCGTGGAGGCTGGGAGAGATCGCAGGATCGCAGGGGAAGAACTCGGGGAACCCGAAAGGGGCCATCGCCTTGTGGTCGTAGTTCTCCACCCGGTACCCCCTGAGCATAGCGAAGAAGTTTTCCCCGGACAAGCCCTGCCGGTCGATGGAAGACGTGCTCCCGTACTCCCGGTGGAGGGCCGCCCCGGTGTTGGGGTTCACCGCGTTTTGGTCTAAGACATCTTCGGCGTCGATGTCACTGATGGTGACGTCACTATTGCTTCTCTGTCTTATGGGGTGAAGTCCCCTTTGAGGCGAGTGCACGAAGATGTCTCCCATTGTGTACTTGGCCTCCACGAAGTCTAGGTCAAGCTGCGCCTCTGGCTGGCCGTCGCTCTGGTCATTCTGCCCATTGTGCATAATGGATGTGACGCTTTCGTAGCTGGTCTGAGACCGGCTCTCCCACAGGGGCTTGCAGGGCAGCTCCTTGGAGCAGTCCTTTTTTGGAGGCCACTCGGACACTCTCGCTCTCACACCCATCTTGGGCACGGCTGGGGTACCATTAGCCGGACCGCCGCTCTCGCTGGAACTCGGGGCATTCAGAGAGGCGGCAGGTCCCATGTTGCCATTAAGGGCTTTAAATTTTCGAGCAAAATAATCATCGGACTGCATGATCCTGGGAGGATCCTTGAACTTGGAAGAGGCTCTGCCAAGCTTGTGCTTCTCTTCTTGTGACTGCCTGGGGTCACTCATGTCTCCCCAGCCGAGACGCTCCAAGTCTCACGAGGAGGACGGGTGTAAGTCTAACGACATTGTTATTCACCAAGGCTTCTTCTACAGCTGTGGTTTCTCTTCTTAACCAAAAGCAAACAACATTTTCAGAGTATGGTGTCTCCGAAACCCACTTGCTTCTCAGCTGTTGTAATAATTTTGTGCACCTCCGTCCTTTTCAAAAGCATGCTTTAAGACATCCGGCCGCATTTCCTTCACCTGAACTGAAAAACAGAAAACAGCCATTAACAGTGATTACAGCTCAAGTTCAACACATTCTCCATATGGTTTCTTCTCTGTCCTTTGCTCCTCCTCTTGACCATCTTCAATTCCCCACGAAAGGGTCATGCAGTTTCCTGGTCCTGCACTGGTGTTCATACCTTTCCTTCTCTCCTAACGCTCTGCCCTCCTGCTCTACTTGGCTGCCTAGAATTCACAGCACAATCAAGCAGTACCCTCTCTAAGAAACTTTCCAGGACCTCTCCCACCCTCAGCCCACATCTGAGAAAAGCATGCTTCCTCTGTGTTTCCATAACACTCCACTCACACGTACCACAGCCGTTCCCCTTACACTCTCAGTGCTGTTTACCCATCAGTCTTCTCCGCTAGCTCACTGCAAGCTCCTTTATGTCAGGAACGCCTTTCATCTCTGTATCAACATGGCCTATTAATGGAGCCTGGCTCGCATCAGGCAATCAAGCCACATTTCAGTTAGTTATAAGAGTAACACAGTGATTATGTAATTGTTTGAGTATTATTAAACTTTCAAAACAGTTAAACTCAAAACGTCCAGGAGCAAAAGGGGCAATCCCGGGCATTAACAATGAGTTTTCTGAACGCCCTCTTGCAAGCAAACAGGAGCTCACAGAGCTACAGCGGGAAGGAGTCTTCAGGAATGCGACGTCTGAACAGGCACAACTTTCGAGCTCATCACACCACTAGCACCCTGACAAATGCGCAGGGGAAATGGAAGCTGAGAGACGGAAAACACAATTCACCTGTGCGGCTGGTAGATACCTGACCTCATCAACTCTCCTCTTTAATTACAAATCATTTTTTTTCCAACTTATTCCAGGTACTGCATATTTCCCTAAGTGATGGCTGGCTGAGAATCTTACTGGCGGCGCAATAAAAGAATGACGCTACTTCTGAAAATAATGATGATATTAAAGTATAATATAGTTGACTTCCCTCAGCCTTCACCAAAGCAGAAAAAATAACTGCAGTCCTGTTAGAAATTATGCTAAAACTCCAACTAGCTGAACAGTGGAAGAACTGTTTTCAGTGGGCTCCTACTGGCTTTGCAATGACCATGTGGTGGTCTATTGGAATAGCAGGCCTTTACTTATGATAGCAGCTCGCTTTCCTCCTCATTGAGGGGAAAAAATCAGCCTGGCCATGACAACATGCTGTCTGTTCCCAGGGCAGCTTCATAATCGAGGAAATATGATATTTTAGGATGTGGGAAACAGAGCAGGAATGAGCAGTCAGATGCTTCCGTGCACCAAACAGAGCAGCACTTGCCCGGGGTTCTCAGAGGGAAAGGAGAGCTGACCGTGTCCGTCTTAACTATTTCACTTAGAATTCATGTGTTTAAAAGAATCACAGATGATGCTGAATTATAGTTCTAGACTGTATAACTTAGATTATCCTCAAATCTTTTCATGAAAACTGAAAAAATGGCAACTGAGATACGAAAGAAACAACTTTCTCCCTGATAGCTCTCTGCTGAAGCGGCATCTGACTTGCTGGATGAGGCTTCTGCATAATCTATACATTCAATCGATAAGTCTGCTGCTTACAGAACCCTCAACAAAGTTTGAAAGAGTAAGAATAACCTCTCATGGTTAGCACAGAGCTGTGTGGATTCTCAGTAGGCTGTAAAATGGTACTCATGTTCGTTACTGACCACTAACTCGCAGGCATCCTGTTACAGAAGGAAGAACCAAGCCCTACCTGACCTCAGTCTCAATCACTGAACTGTGCCGTTTCTAGAAATATAATCAGGAACTGAGGGCTCACCATCTTAACAAATTAGGAAAAAAACAACAAAATGTACCAAAGGAAAGAAAAAATGAATACAGATAAAAGCTGAAATTAATGGAATGGTGGGGGTGGGGAAAAGGGACCCTCCTACACTGCTGGTGGGAATGCAGTTTGGTGCAGCCACTGTGGAAAACAGTATGGAGATTCCTCAAAAGACTAGGAACAGACTTACCATATGACCCAGGAATCCGGCTCCTGGGCTTACATCCAGAAGGAACCCTACTTCAAAAAGATACCTGCACCCCAATGTTCACAGCAGCACTATTTACAATAGCCAAGACATGGAAACAGCCTAGATGCCCATCAATAGACTGGATAAAGAAGATGTGGTATATTTATACAGTGGAATACTACTCAGCCATAAAAATCAACAACATAATGCCATTTGCAGCAACATGGATGTCCCTGGAGAATGTCATTCTAAGTGAAGTAAGCCAGAAAGAGACAGAAAAATACCATTTGAGATCACTCACATGTGGAATCCAAAAAAAAAAAAACAAACAACAAAGATACAAAACAGAAACAGACTCATAGACATAGAATACAAACTTGTGGTTGCCGAGGGAGGGGAGGTGGGAAGGGAACGAGACGTGGGAGGTTACTAAAATTTAAGTTAGGAATACTGACAGGCGATATGCAAGAATAGATAAAAAG